TGTTGCCCAAAATGCACACACATGAATATATATTTTCTATCAAACAGATCTATTCACATTCATAACATTTATTACACGCATTGATACTAGTAGTGCTGCTACATCACACTATTTCTCTCATTATTACTAACTTTGGTAATTTTTGAAAATTCAGAGATTTCAACGAAAATTATACCTGCGCATGTTCAAGCTTCCATTTTTAACAAAGTCTCATCAAATCATTTGGAGCCTTTTTTTGATTATTTTAAAAATTATTATGGTGATTCATGTAAACAATCCCCAAAACTCATAGAGAGCTTCAGATCTTCAGAAACAATTACATGGACTCTTTGTGAAAAATAAAATGTGACATATGGAGGAAATTCGTCTATGTAATAAGCATCTTGTTTTCTTTATGCTGTTTAGAAATTAGCTCGTTAAAGAAGATGATGCAATTTTTTTAAACGAGTAATTTTCCCTTAATTTTTTAATAAGGTAGTAGTAAAGGTAATTTTTAATTCTCTTTTCCCAAACGGCACTAACATTTTTTTAAATTATTTCTTCGGATAGAGTTAAAAAAAGCTGACAAAGAAAACGTGTTTCACTTTTTGAAAATATTGGTACATTTCCCGCAATCTCGAGTAAGCTATAAACAATAATAAAAGCGAAGAGTTTCTTAATAACTGCACCAGTTTTTTCTTTAAACGTTCTGTACGGAAAGTGCAAAATGTCTTGAATAATTTGATCTAACGTCATTTTGATGTACTCTTTATTTTAATAAAAATCACATATTTAATGATTTACGCATCTATCACGTCGTTAATATTTACATTATGGGAGTTCTTTATAGTTGACTGTATTTACAAAAACCAAAACCTTAAATGCTTTCTCTTACGTTTCTGAAAACTTCAGTTTTCGATGTACACGAGCTCAATTTTTTTACAGTTTCAGAAATGCTTACTTAAAATTATTATTTTCTCAAAAAACCCTTACTTTTCAACGAAAATCTGCATTTACTTTTCTTCCAATGAAATTTGTTCTCCACAATAAGTTGTTGGTGAAAATGTCAGTAGTTTTTGGTAATTTAGAATTAAATTTGGGCAGTATTTAAACAAATATTACAAAAAATATGTTCTCAAAAACGTCACCAACTTTTGTAGGTATAGATCTAAACTGCATTCTAATTGATCTGTGTCAGATAACTACAAGCCATTTTGCAAATTTTTTGTTTTTTAAAAAAATTACAGAATGTAATTTTTTGATAACTACGTTATTGCAATTTAATACTGTTAGGCTTGCAAAGGACAATCTGCATATATCTGTTCATTGTATTCTTGTTTTGAGTTTTGGGCTGCGATCAAATCAGCTTCAATTTCCCGTTTGCCGAGCCTTTGCCGGATTTTCTGGCGTGCGCACCAACCTGTTTATGATATATACACTGCGTGAAATCGTGCTCTTTGTTCGATGTGCCTTAATCCCTTTGTAAGTCCTACTCTACGAGTATATGGATCTCAATGCGTAGCTTCGTAGTTCATTATTGCTCAAAGAAGCGAAGTATATGCGATTATTTATTTTACGTTCACATTGCATTATGTAAAGATGTTTCACAGTGAACTGCAAGAGTCGTCAAGATTCAACAGTACACAGTTCTCTTATTTTTCACACCTCAATGTTACTGACTAGCAGAATGCCAATGTATACATACGCGACACGCGATAAATTATACCACTAATACTTAAGAACATGTATTCTTTTAATTTCTAGAACAATGGGTTAAAAGAATATTGTTTCAATTTAATTATATTATTAAGCCATTATATTTAATTCCGTTTTGTTTTTGATGTGTGATAATAATATGCGTGCGTAACAAATATCGATCACAACGCTTATGCATAGACCTTAAATTGCATAAACACGTATTTGATATTTCAACTAACAGTATTACAACAAATATGATTATAAGTAACTGACGAATACTATAACATGTAATTGACGATACAGTAAGACAGTACAGTACGGAGTATGACAAACAATACTAATAACATAAAATAAATGCAATTTGGTTTCCTAAACCATTGAAATATCGTGAAATTCTCCAACACAATTCTCATAACTTCGTCGCCTAGAGGATTCCCTCAAATTCCTCATTGAGAGGTTTTGTACGCAATCTTTACCGCCAGTCTTCATCTACATTTTTGTGTAATATCTCCAGTGGGTTTGGAATAGTCTACTAGCGCAGTCGCCAAGAAGATGAAGGCGTGTTTGGATCTTAGAGTTTTTGTCAAACAATGACGAGATTCTATATTTATACATCTCGCTGAAAGTGACACACTCAATCGTCTTCAACGAATAATAAAGCGGAATAATTAAAAAATTGTGATGAGTACATTGAAGACTGCTGTTTTTAGGTCACAATGAAAGCAAACTTAACACCATTATGACATACAAAACTGGTTGGCCGTTTCCTAAAGGTCTATGAGCGTATACCAAACACATTAGTATGCGTGGGGAAACGCATCGTCACACTGTAAAAGGTTTTCCCTCGCCTAGACGGGAATGGAGGAGCTGGAACAGAGAGTAGACAGTTTTATTTCCACCAGAATGGGACCATTAGGTAACTTATATCAAGCTTACTTTCACGGAAAGATATCAAAAGCCTCTCGCATTACGACCATTTTCCAGTTTCTCAACAATAATATATTTGTATTATCTTATATCATTACTTAACCTGTATCGAGGAGAAAATCAGAACCGTTCGTTACAGTTTTTTCCGTCGCATTATGTTGTGACCGCAGACTAATAAAAATGGTAAGATCATTAGTCCAGTAAATGCAGACATGTCATATCTCGGGAGGTGGCAACGTTCCTCCCCCGTTAGAAGAAGAGATCCGGCGCATGTGTACATGAAGGATTGCGAGGATTCCTCTCGAGTATCTCCCCCACGGGCTCTACCCAAGTCAAAACAATCTCTAAACTCGCATGATATGAAGTGCAAAAAAGTATAAGTGTGTGTATGTACTCGTAAGAATGTATGTATGAATTGAAATGTAAAACTCTTTCTTCACCTTAATTTATTACTAACTTTAATACAAATACTATCAGCTATACTTTTATTTTGTTTCAAATTTGACTAGCACATTTTTTATTATAATACTCAACAATACACATTTCAGGGCTGCTGTAGTAATTTACTCGTCTTCGTGAGCCTGAAAATTACTGCTCTTACGAGAACACGGCTGGTGATAATTTTTGATAAAACGTGTGTTAATGGTATTCTCATGACATACAGAAATACTACGAAAGAACAACACGTGATTCAGAAAGATGTTTTAGTAGCGCAATGATATGTACTGTAATTTCCTTTATTTTAATTAAATTCTGCTGATTTTAAAATGCAAATGTTTTAATAGTGTTTTTACTTAATACATTTGTCGTAACTAAAAGAGTTTAATTTTATATACCCTTTTTGGATCCATAATTTATACTTTGAATATTCGTCTTCATATGGCCAACTTTAATTCTAAACAATTTAAATTTAATTATATTCCTAAAACTACAAGTCTTGACATTATACATTTTTAGGTAAACGTCTTTGCAATTACTTATGTTAATGCACTTCCCCGATTTCATAAATGAAGCACCCTTGGCGGTGTCCTCGATCTCCATGCAAGTCGCTCTCCTAGCAGTGACAAAATTCCTTCAATGTTCCGGTATTCCACACATACAGTTTTGTAATTTCGCCATCATGAATATTGTCCATCGCGATTATACGTCCGGGTTCATTTTGTGTTTTTATTTTCTTTGTAATACACGTCAACTCATTAATAAATCACTTCTGATCCGTCTCGCGGTTCTACCTCTGCACTTTCTCATGGTACAATTCCGTCTAATACCTCTCAACACAACTTGGTTTTGGTGGTTTCTTTAAAAGTAGTTTATGTTCCTCCGTGTACTGTCCTCTTGACCGTGTACTGTCTCCATTGTTTTCAAGCATATTCGATGCTATTATGTTCTTCTCCTCTTACACCACGTAGATCCTCACACTTCACGTTTCGTCTCTCTCTTAGTTATACTCGTTTCTCTTAGTTATACGAACGTGTTCTATTTTGCAATTATATTTTAATTTTATTAACACACATATCTTTGGGATATTATTTCTCCTCTCAGTATGTGCGAATGTATGTATTCGTATGTGAGAAAGTACGTATGTGAGCTTGGGGAAGGAAGCAGATCGCGCGGTTTTTGGCCCGTTTGTTAGGATACTTCTCTGGCAAACGTCTAGTAATGATCGGAGAAATCACGGGAAACTTCGGCTCAGAGCAACGAGCTGCTTAAATTCTCCTCCAGACAGCGGTGGACTTTTTAACATTTTTTTTACTATTTAGCTGTCACAGACTGTCATGTTTGCCCGGGCGGACGAAACGGAAAGGGCAGAACGGTTCCGTAAACTATGGGAATTATCACTAGAATAATATAATCAAGTAGGCAATTAATTGGTACACTAAGTTTTAAATATTCTTAATGGCATGTTTTATGGCAGTGTCTATATAGAAGTTACAGGTCAAACATGAACCAAGTCCTATTAGTATAAAACCTGCTCAATGGACAGAGGATCCCAGATTGGAAGAAACGGAACCCCGAAGTGTGCATCTGCGCCGAATGTCGTATTCGAGCGGAGAAGGAACATACCCACTTCCCGAGATATGCCCGAGAGGACTAATGCCCTTACGTCGCAACGCAATTGTGCGTGTGCTTTCGGGCGACTTCTCTGCACACGCTTGACGCGATGCACCTGGCTGCTCGGACGGGCCGGGCCGAGCTAGGCTGGGCGGGCTGGGCCGGGTGGGCGTCACCCCGCGAGCGCCTTTCGTCGCCGTCGACTGCGCAGTGAAACCGGCGGAGGGCGCGTGCTTGGGATGCGCGACACGGAGGAGGCGGCGGCGGCGGCGGCTGGCGTGGCGACGCGCACCGCCCGGGGGTATATAACGCGCGGCGTAGCCAGCGAGGGCCATCCGCTCCACCGCAGTCGTCGGCAAAGCACCTCCTCACTCAACATGGTCTCCAAGGCTCTGGTGAGTCACCGATTTCGTCTTCGTTTCACTTCGCACCGTTTTTTAAAACTTTTCTTTTGAGATGAAATTTAAGACACGAAAGAACGGAAATTAATAATTCCGGATTTGATCAATTTACCGAACAAGCTTATTTAACTTCAAATTAAATGTGTTTTAATTGTTGTAGTAATTTTTGGAGTCTTGGGTGTTGTTTCTCTAAAGGAATAGATTTGGAACTCGAGTTTATAAGTGAACACAGCTTCTTAGAAAGTATTCTGAGGATTTTAAAACTTTTGAAAGATATGGTAATAACCTCCCTTTCTAGACATTCTACAAATAATTGTCGTTTTCGTAACGTAACATCTTGAAAATTTGCTTCATCTGATAGCCGTTCGCCAACATGCGGTGTCGTAACGTTTGACAGTGGATTCAGAATCCCAAGCATACATTATTCCACCCAAGTGCCAAAGCAGCTTGTATAAAAATCGTTGCCAGGAGAAGGACCCTGAGACTTGCTAATAGAAAGTGACTTTCGAAAGAGTGTGGCGCATATTCAAATAAAATGACGACCTCAATCAAGAGACATTACTTTTTCACCAATACACAAGAGAAATGTATTTCAAAATTTAAAATTTAATTCTTATTACGTAGGAAGTTAACAATAATAATAACAATAATTGTTTATTTTCATAACTCTGACAACAAAATATGGTTTCCATCTCTCCGATAATCTCATTAAAAAAAGAATGACGTGTACTGACATATCAAAAAAAATGTTTTATCAATTGTAATGAGTTACAAATACTTAACTTACTATTTTTATGTACTATTCTTTTAGGAATAATATTATCACAATAACTGCCGTAGCCGCGAGTAGTTAATATATATTTATATTTTAAATATACCATACTAATACTACTAATATATTTAAAAGGCCGAACACATCTCACAGAATTCTGAGGGCAAATAACGTCACCGCCAATCAGTTTTTCCACGTGCTTCACCTCACCAGCAGAGTCGTGGCTAGTGTGGCGTGTGCGGTTAGCGGGGAGTGGCCCTTGGGGTTACGAGTGAGTGTGCGCTTGTCTTGCAGATGTCGCCGTACGGCGTGGTCGCTCTGCTGGCCGTCGGCGAAGCGCGAGCGTGGCGCCCTTGGGGGCCCGCCTTGCGCGCCCTACGCCCTCGCGCGCTGGGCAAGTTCCTACACGCGCACAGCCGTTCAACCAGCCCTCGCCGGCCCCCGTCGCCGCCCCCGCCCTCGCCGCCGCCCCCGTCGCCGCCGCCTACGCCGCCTACCCGGCTGCTTACCACGCGGCCTACCCCGCCGCCGCCTACCTCGCCTAAACATCAACACGCCTTGCACGCAAGCCTGGATTGCGCCGGTTGTAAGTCTGTCATCGCAACAACTTTCCTTGTGACGCGAACATTGAAGCTTCTGCAGTCATCGCAAACAGACAGACAACCGGCGCAAAGCAGGCTTGACGAGCGGGGCTGGCCTGTGGGTGCTTCCTTCAGCGCCTGCCGCACTCCACCGCGCCTGCCAGTTGCTCCTCCTCTAGAAGATCTCCGCGCTCCACTTCAGTTGGCCAATAAATTCGCTTTCGTACAGAGGGTGCATTCGCAAAAAAATGTGTGAAGTAAAATGTCAAACAAAATAATCATACTTCTGTGATGTAGTAAAGATTGCTTCACCTCAGACCTACTCAGCCAAAAAATACGGCTATTTTAGAATGTACTCTCGAAAAAAATGTAAAATAATTTTAAACATTTAAGTCAAAAACTTATTACAAACACGAAAAGTTGTAAAAATATTCAATATTTATTTTGAACTGTATTTAAAAAAATGAATATGATTACCATCTATATAGGCTCTTAAAATTTTGAATTTCAGGAGAAAAACATTGTGGAACGTGCAAAATTTGAACATCTGAGATCAAAATGCATATATGGACATTCGACATTCATCGAATTTTAAGAAAGATCAATGCCTCAGAGGAACCACCATTCCCTGGCTGCGTTCAAGAATCGAGTTCTTAATCTGCTATTCTTGAACTACAAGTTGCTCAAAGATAACTCTCTTTCTGTTAATAGGTACAAATTCTTTTATCGTTCCATGTAAATAAATAAAGCATTCCTTAGAAAAATATCTCTGTTTTATTATTATAAATCCTACTAAATCCTCCTTCAACAGCATATCCTTATATAATTATTATTATCTTCTTTACAGGAACAGAGTAATATATTGCAGTTCATGCTTCAACTGTAACTACTATACATATACTGCGATAAAACCTTCCCTTAAGAATAGTAAAACTCAGTGTACCAATTAATTGCCTTCTTGATAATATTATTCTTTCAATAATTCGCATAGTTTCAAACTATCGTTAGAACCGTGCATTCAATAAAAAAATCATTTTATGATAAAAATAGGTATCTAAAGAATGTACCAAAAGAAAAACATGTGTGTTGCGAAAGAATGAATGAAAATATATCGAATAACCGACATCATTAATACCTACATAACCCATTCTTCCATTATTGATATTGCTTACTAACAGTTCAACATAGTGTGTAGAAATAGCTTTAAAATTAGGAATTATTTTATCTATTCTATTTTTTTCAGAAAAATTGTTTCGTTCTCTGACTTTCTGTGTACGAGAAGCTGCTTTCAACAGAAACTTTGACACCAAACTTTCGGGAAATTCCACTTCAATAAACCACCTCAAGAACTCGGTCACACATGATTGCAAAAGGCCCTACGTCTTCAAAACACGTATCTTCCATTCCTCGTCCCTCGAGGTGGGGAAAGAGAAGAAAGTCGCCGCTAAACCCCCATTTCTCTGCCATCATTCGTTGTGTCACTTGACAGACTTGTGCCAGCATGTGTCGCCCTCTTTCAGCGACGTCTCGGCTTGTGCTTGTAGCAGCGCCTGAGCGTGCCTCATACGTATTCCCTTCCTTGCCGCCGAGGAAGCTCTTGAAATGCGCGGTAACACATTGTCCGATTTCAAGTTATTGACAGTCTTTAGATTAATTATTTTATTATAAGAACATTTTTTTAGCCCTAGAACTGTGAAGGGAGAGCGTTGAACCACATGTATTGATTTTGCTCTTAATTCTTTTAAATTATTGTCGTGGAGCGTATTCCCTTTTAGTTATTGTCAACTGGACATCGTATATCGTACATTTGGCTGTTTTTACTGACAATTGTGTTATTTCATAACAACATAAAAATAAAAACAAATATTGCTATGGATTTTATCACAACCACCTTTAAGGTCCACGGTACCAAATATGTTTATGAAAAGTTATCACATTTTCTAAATTCTCTACCCAATATTCTTATATTAGTAAACTGTATGTTGTGTTAAGTGACGTCGTAGGCTTCCCAGGCCAGAATCGAGATCTGGATTGTCCGGGTGACGCTGTGTTGAAGGCTGGGAAGGCGGACGTGTCGACCATGTCGTGGTCTTTCTCCAGACCAGCCCTGAGGAAGGCCACGAGAAGATGGTCGAAATATCAGCAGCCCAGCCTTCAACGCGGCGACAGCGAAGATCTATTGTATGTTTTGTTGGCCTATTATTCCAACGCGTAATGGAAGAATTTAATTTTGTCCCATCTCAGATTTGACCCATTTTTGATTGTACTAAAAAGTGAACTTAAAAGTGTCTCAGAATAAATGTTACAAACTTCTAAGGTCAAAAATTAACACTTTTTGCCGATGAACATGAATTACAATGGTGAATTAGATAAAACTGAGTAACACAATACGTTATTACGTTATATAAAATTACCCACACTCTTTATAACAATTAAATGTAAGTCTCCTAGTCTCGGCGCAGCGAACGCAACCTTCCCACAACGTAACAGATGCGAGAGCAGCTAGAGGAAATATTGTTCGTTTAATTGAAAATCATATGCCAGAAATTCTAATTTTATACTCAAATTTCTATCAAAACACTAAAATATGACTTATCATTGTATTCCTCTTTTCATTATCTATCCATTACTGATGATAACAATATATAGTTCCATTTAAAAAAGAAATGATTAAATTTCTTAAAAACTATATATATATTTCACACAATACCTCTGCGCCGTATTACTTCCCCCATGATTCCTTATTGTTGAAAAGAAACTGCACTTCGATATCGCAATATCGTGTACCGTTTAGGAGTTACGTAGGACACCCATAGTTTGTGGGACACGCGATAATACACATAGTATTAGTTATGCATTGTTTCCTTCAATTATGTAATTGATTCTGGGGAAATGCATTCTGTGATCCACATTACCCCCTCCCTTCTCCTTTATGTTCTTCAGATACTGGAAAGGTATTAGAATGTGACTTTAAAGAAAATAAATTACATTGCATGGTATATAAATTACATATTAACAATGTTATGATTCCATCTCAGATATTTTCACGGAAAATATGATGATCCGACCAGCGTCTAACCCATTTGTTTAGACGCATTTCGTTTACCTTCCGCATGTTTCTGTTTCCTGTAAGTTCGAAATTTGAAGGTCAGGTTTAGTGCGTAATAAGCGGCAATCTTTCTAACCTTCATCGCCTTTAAACCAATTTTGCGTGTCCTCGCCAGCCGGGTTGCTGAGTGCACGTGGCGCGCCAGACAGCTGCGGAAGCGGTGGCGCCCTCACTCAAGCATCCCGTCTCACTCCACCCGCGAAGGTTCCCGTGCTCCCGCGTGACAGGCTTAAACTCCTTGCTCAGATGAAGGAAATCGGCTGTCATAGACAGGAATGTACGATGTGACAAGAAAGTTGTGCCGGAATTAAATTTGTGTTAAATCGCAAGCATTGAAGGAAAATTTCCTTTGGGGCAGTAGATAAAGATTTCATAGTGCACTGATGTAATAGATACCTAAAAATAAATTTAAAGAAATCTGTGCAGTATCCAGCCATGTGAGATTGTCTATGGATTTCTTATATACCCAAAATTGTGGAGCAAATCGAAAAACAATTAAAACATTCGGTTTTGGCTAAAAAGACAAACACTTGCGTCTTGCCTTATGGAACAGTTGCTATTTTTTTACACTCTTGATACGAATTAATTGCAATAAGTATATGTACTGAGGTGGTTTTTACTTTCACATGAACGCATTTACATAAGGAGTGGGGAAAATAAAAGTATCCATGAACTTCACAAACCTTTACAACTATTTACACAAATACTTTAAAAAATTTACACAAAATCTTTCTGACACTGTGATGCAACCTATTACTATAGAGTTGCAACATTTTTAAGTTTTGTACATAGCCAACAAGATTCTAAATAAATTACTCCTTTAATTTATCTCAACAAACGATCTACACCTTTTTTCATGCAGACATTCTGGTACCACACAACATGAACGTGTAACTAGACAAGAAGGGAAACATAAAATCACAAATAATAATCCTTCATTCGCAATAATGTTGAAACCACTTTTAATGTTTGTTCCCTTTAATGCGAGTTTCCCTTTTGTGCCCTTTCCCTGTAGTCTTGAAAACCATCGATCCACTACAGGAAACTCGTTAAAAGCATATTAGTGCCCTTGTTCCTCTTGTAACCCTTTGTTCCTCTTGTAACCCCTTCGGAGCAACACTGGCAGTTCTTTACAAGTGCGTGATCTTTTCTGAGCTCCAAAACCGAGAGTTCGTTTAGCAACAAAGAACATCCTTTCCGATACATTATCGCGCCTCTTGTGCAAACAGTCGGATCTGCTTATTCGCTTGTGTGTCATCCGTATCATAACAATGATGTGCTTAGTTCCCTCCTTTCACAGAACTTGCATCGATTTTATGTCAGAACTAAGAGTCGACAGGTGGACCGCTAGGGCTCTACCTGCGGTGGCGACTCTTATAAACGGACAAGGCGCGTTTTTCAGTTACAGTATTATACATTCCATTCCCTTCCATTATGTTATATTATATATTATTATTTAACATTAAAAATTCGTGTATTTAGACGGTCATAATGTGTAATTTTGATGTTCTATGGAACAGAAATTCTAATTGCTAAAATAAAACTTGAAAGTGAACGAAGTAGTTTTTTGAAATACCTTCTGAAATATTACAAAACGTGTCCACTCAAAAAATTGAATTAATTATAGCAACAAATATTGTTATACTTTTAAAATATAAAAAACAATAAAACGTCAATTCTTCAAAGAAATAGGAAAAATAAATATATTTTTACTAATCAGTGTTGTCACATAACAGATAACTAAGAAGAAAGAAGATACACATTAAGAAGTAATAATATTTAAGCGCAAAAGAAAATAAGCTATTAGAGTCTCTGAAGGTAATACTAATATCTGAATACTAATATCCAGAATCAATTCTTCTATTGTCATTAAATGAAAGTTAATAATTTCATCATTTCTATATTTTAACTTTTCTCTTTTACTTTTGAGGATATTCGTTAATTTCATATGAATCTGAAGCAAAGAGGAGTCTGTTCAGTATATCTGTATTTGTATCTATTCTGGAAGTCTTCTACTTAAAGAACTCTTTGTAGTGTCTAGAATGTTTATTTCTGGATTCTTTGGCTTCTTCTGAACATTGTCTAATGAGTAAGAAACATATTTCAATAATTTTACTTCCGTGAAATAGAATTTTGTGAAGGCTTACAGGCATTGGGTACTAACTTTTGAAGTCAGTTGTTTCAGGTCTCTTTCGTATATTCTTC